TTTTTTTTTTTTTTTTTTTTTTGAGGCAGGGTTTTGCTGTAGCTTTGGAGCCTATCCTGGAACTTGCTCTTATAGACCAGGCTGGCCTTGAACTCACAGAGATCCCGCCTGCCGCCTGCCTCTGCCTCTTGAGTGCTGGGATCAAAGGCGTGGGCCACCACTGTCTGGCCACTCCAGTTCTTTTGTTTATATCACAGAGTATCAAGTCACTTTGATTCACCTCAGCATTGTTGGTTTTTTAACAACCGCTGTAATCTTTGTGAAGGAAAGAGCAGCTCTGCCGAAGTCTCAGGCAGTCAGGAAAGCATCTGAGAGGTTGCTTCATAACATACTCCCCTTACCCTCGTCAGTACAATATGTCTGTGTTGGCAGAGACACCTGGACCAGGGGTCCACAGACTATGCCTCACATAACCCATCTAGCCTACCACCTGTTCTTACATGATTTGGAGGCTAATGATGAAATAAAAGAATCATAATATTTTATGGTAATGGAAATGATATGATATGTCAGGTTCATTAAGTAAGGTTTTATTGGGCCATGCACATCTTTGTACACACTTTCTGTGGCCTCTCCCAAATCTGCCCTGTCTGATCTATGACAGGTTTAGAATCAATAGTGATTGTTGTCTTTGAAAGCCTGGATTTTCAACTCTTAATTGAGTGGAAACGGAGCCATTGCTAGAACATCCTGTACAGTGGTCTATAAAGAGGAAGTTGGGCGGTGGTGCACACCTTCATCCCAGCGCTCCTGAGGCAGAGGCAAGTGGATCTCTATGAGTTCAAAGCCAGCCTGGTCTACATAGTGAGTTGCAGGGCATCCAGGATTGTTACACAGAGAAACCCTGTCTCAAAAACCAAAAATAAAAAAGGAAAGAAAAGCAGTTTTTGACTATGCTCTAGAAAATTGCAGGTCAGAGGTGAGGTATTTCAGCCCAACACTGTTGCCTCATATTGACAGGGTTAGAGACTCAGTGAAGGCCCTGACTCGGGAACAAGAGCAGCTCCTGGGGCAGCTGAAGGAATCCCTGGCAGACAAGGAACAGAGCAAGGTAAGAGATTCCAAGTGGGTTTACTTTCTTTCTTAGTCTTTAAGCTAGTGTTCATTGAGTCCCTTCTAAAAGCTGGGCATCCCTGAGGGTGAAAATGTAAAGGAGACCCTGCGTATTCTTTCCTCCATGGTGCACTGCCTGCCCAAATCACAGAGTGTCACAATAAAAACCTAATCTAGTGCCACAGGGTTCCAGAGAGGTGGATGAGAACACATCTCACTGGGCTTGAGAAGCAACTGTCAGAGGATCCCTGCAACTTGGTGGCCAGCCAGTCTAGCCAGCTGGCAAGTAGAGAACATTTAAGGAAGACACCCAAGGTCAAGACCAACCTCTGGTCTGCGCTGATGCAGGCATGCACATGCGCGCACACACACATAAATGCAAAGGCGATCAAAGCGGGGGTGTAAAGGCCAGGCACTGTGATGTGCTTGTTGTGGTCTAGCACTCAGAAGGCTGAAGCAGAAGGATTCTGAGTTCAAGGTCAGCCTAGGCTGAGACTATCTAGATAGTAGAGAAAGAATGAAGGAATTTAAGCTTTGAACACCTTGAGTCACAGACAAGTAGATGGTAAATGATAGCAGTGTTCAAAGTGTCAACCTTATAGTCCCAGTTTACTCTTCAGTTTGATAGAAAATACAAAGGGAATTTTATTCTGAGGATTACATAAAAATGAAGTAACCTAAAAGCACACATCAATGGAGCAGTGTTCTCCAGTGTGTTGACTTATGTTTTGATGTGTTTCCAAAAACAGTTTTTAATAATTTAGAACAAGATTAGAGCAGAGACTGTAGTTCAGTGTTGAGCAAGGCAAAAAACAAAAATATGATGAATTAAAATATTTGCAGAACCTTCAGTGGCTTTCTCAGAACCCTGGGCTTCTCTAGAAAACTGCTCACACATGAAAAATGGAATTTGAGCAAAGTGTGATGGTACTGTAATTCCAGCACTGGGGAAACTGAGGCAGGAAGATTGCCGTAAGCTTGAAGTAGCCTTGGCTACATAGCAAGACCTTGTCTTCAAAATATAAAACAATAAAATAAAAAAAGTGAACAAAGAAAGATGAAAGAGACAGCCTAAGGGAATGTGCGTATGCAGTGTGAGGGAGGTGGGCATCACCCTGGAGGGTCTGCAGACTTTGAGGGAAGGTGGGCATCACCCTGGAGGGTCTGCATAGTTTGAGGGAGGTTGGTATCACCCTAGAGGGTCTGCATAGTTTGAGGGAGGTGGGCATCACCCTGGAGGATCTGCAGACTTTGAGGAAGGTTGGTATCACCCTAGAGGGTCTGCATAGTTTGAGGGAGGTGGGCATCACCCTGGAGGGTCTGCAGAGTTTGAGGGAAGGTGGGCATCACCCTGGAGGATCTGCAGAGTTTGAGGGAAGGTGGGCATCACCCTGGAGGATCTGCAGAGTTTGAGGGAAGGTGGGCATCACACTGGAGGGTCTGCAGAGTTTGAGGGAAGGTGGGCATCACACTGGAGGATCTGGAGTTGAACCTTTTTCACCTCAGTGAAAAGTGCCTAAAGAATTGTACTGAGAAGCGCTGATCACCTGCTAGAAAATAACTAGTTACAACACTATCCAGTCATCCCATAGGAACAGCCACGCCTGAGCTAATGTGGGTATGGCCATAATAAACAAGAGAAGATAGTTGTGGCCAGGATGGAGAGTGGAAAAATCTATCACTTTCTCCTGTGAACTGCTAGGGAGAGAAGAAAAGCAAGCATAGCACCCAAATGTTCAGCTAGGTGAATTAAGAAGTGCTCAGTACAGCAGACAGAAATGACAGTGGCCCCAGAACCTGTAATATCAGCACGCAGGTGACAAGCAGGAGGAGGATTGTGCATTAGTGGCCAGTCGCAGGACCGTAGTGCAGGAAGAGGGACTAGAGACACAGAGACTCAGGGAAGAAGAAGGTCTGTCGTGAGAGGTGCAGTATTCTGTCCTGATTTAAAGGAGAGTAAAAAAGCACAGTGGGATGCGGGATGCTGCTGCCTAAGACCCCAGGCTGTGATGCCCTGGACACTTCATTCAGGAGCTGAAGCTAGACACTCAAGATTGAGACCCTTTGAGCTGAGGGCCCAAGAAGAGCTGGTAAGAGCTGACTGCTTCCACTTGTACTGAATCTAAAAAATGGACCCCCGCCTTCTCTCATCACCCAGACAGGAAGGCAACCTGCCCCTGGTATGCCCACACTCCTCCCCTGGTCCTTACCTGCTTCCACTTCCATCAGGTCGAGTTCCAGATGGTCCGAGAGGAGAACTGCCGCTTAACTGTAGAGCTGCAGGAGGCCAAGGGCCGGCGGGAAGAGCAGGGTGCTCAGGTGCAGCAGCTGAAGGAGAAGGTGGCCCACTTGAAGGGCACCCTGGCTCAAGCCCAGCAGAAAGTGGTGAGTGAAGCTCTGTAGGTGATAGGAAGAGTGAGAGATCCAAAGTAGTCTAGACACATTTGGGTGTCCAGAGAGAAGAGGCAGAGACAGCTAAGGCAAACAACGCCGTCCTGGGTGCCAATGAGGGGGCCCCGTCCCACAAGTGGTTCACAAGAAGGATCAGATGAGGGGGGCTCCGTCTCACAGGTGGTTCACAAGAAGGATCTGATGAGGGGGCCCCGTCTCACAAGTGGTTCACAAGAAGGATCTGATGAGGGGGCCCCGTCTCACAAGTGGTTCACAAGAAGGATCTGATGAAGGGGCCCCGTCTCACAAGTGGTTCAAAAGAAGGATCGGATGAGGGGGCCCCGTCTCACAAGTGGTTCACAAGAAAGATCTGATCTCTGTCCTTTTTCTCTGGAGGCCGAGCTGGAACCCCTGAAAGAGCAACTTCGAGGGGTCCAGGAACTTGCAGCCTCAAGCCAACAGAAAGCCGCCCTTCTTGGGGAGGAGTTGGCCAGCGCAGCGGGAGCCAGGGACCGCACCATAGCTGAGCTGCACCGCAGTCGACTGGAAGTGGCTGAAGTCAGTGGCCGACTGGCTGAGCTCAGCCTGCACATGAAGGAGGAAAAGTGCCAGTGGAGCAAGGAGCGGACAGGGCTGCTGCAGAATATGGAGGTAGAGGGAACTCTGACCTGTAGTCAGGTGCTCTGGGAGGAGGGGAGAGGAGCGGAGACCCTTGGAGGACATGAGGGGAGGTACTCTTGATTTCCAGGCATGAATCAGCCCTAACAAAGAATCCCAGTCCTGATCACCAAAATACGTTTCCTAGTGACCATCCTTGGTGTAGGAACACTCACTGTCATGGGCACTGGGCCCTGCCTATTCCTGTAACACAGAGCCTCCTGCTTCAGTGAAGAACAGAAGTGAGGAGCTTGCTCAGACACAGCTTAGCCCCCAGACATAGAAGAAAGGGACCCAGCAAGGGCAATGCTATTTCCTGACATCTCTTGCCACTTCACCCCCTCCCTCCCATTGTCCTTTGTACCATCTCTAGGCTGAGAAGGACAAGGTCCTGAAGCTGAGTGCAGAGATCCTCCGGCTGGAGAAGACCGTACAGGAGGAGAGGAGCCAGAGCCACATATTCAAGACTGAACTGGCCCGAGAAAAGGATTCTAGCCTGGTGAGGTGCCCTGCCAGCTTGAAGTCAGTCCCCTGTCCTGACGGATTAGTGCCCCTTTCATGGTCTCTCGACAGTCTCTCGGCTCTGAAGTACTGTAATGACTTGCAGCCCTCAGGGTTTGAGTGAGCACATTCCCTTTCTGCTCATAGAGTGCACTTCTGGTCCTGGAGGGACAACACAGGAGAGTTATGGGGTGACTTCTGGAATTACCAAAGCCTCTTCACCCAGCCTAAGACAGTTAGTTACCTGGGGCCACATTTGAGAGGTAGAGTCTAGGACTTTAGCCTGAGCCCTGGGAACCAAGACAGGGGCCCTGTGGAAGAAGTACTTTGTGTGTGGAACAAGAGAGAACCTAGTTGAAGTTTTGGACCAGGTTCTTGGTGGCACATTGCAGGCTCCAGGCTCCATGACCCTTTTCCCTCAGGTGCAGCTGTCAGAGAGTAAGCGAGAGCTGACAGAGCTGCGCTCAGCCCTCCGTGTGCTCCAGAAGGAAAAGGAGCAGCTGCAGGCAGAGAAACAGGTAAGACTCATGTGCAGTTCAAGCCCTAGATGCCAGAGCCAAGGGCTAGGGGACTCAAACTTCTGTATCATCTTGGTAATCTCTTGTCTCAGAAGCCGGAATCTCTTTGAGGATGCAAAGGCTGAAAAGGGGGCACCGACTCCTCTTTGGAGCTAACTTTGTGCAGGGGAGGAACACCAGAAGGGATCGGGGTGCAGGGTAGAGGAGAGCTCCCAATTAAGGGGATCTGCCTTGTGCAGCTCCACCCCATGGTGGAAGCATGTACGACATCCGGAGTGTGGAAAGCTCGGGAGGCTTCAGCAGCTGCCTGTTTGCTGCCCACCCCAGGAGTTGCTGGAGTACATGAGGAAGCTGGAGGCGCGGCTGGAGAAGGTGGCAGATGAGAAGTGGGAGGAAGATGCCGCCACAGAGGATGAGGAGGCCACCGCTGGGCTGAGTCTGTCCCCAATCTGTGACGCCTGTTCCCCTTGCCCCCTCTTTGAGGAAGTGGCCTAGCCTTCCTTTCCCTTTCCCAGGGCCCTCTGCAGTTGAACTGTCCCTCCTCAGATTCCTGTGCCTGACCTTTCTTCTCTGTCTGCCTTCCCTCCCATAGACGGCCCTGCAGCCCTGTCAGACTCAGAGGATGAGTCCCCAGAGGACATGAGGCTCCCTTCCTATGGCTTGTGTGAGCGTGGAAGTCCAGGCTCCTCTCCTCCTGGGCTCCGGGAGGCCTCTCCCCTTGTTGTCATCAACCAGCCAGCACCCATTGCTCCCCACCTCTCAGGGCCAGGGGAGGACAGCAGCTCTGACTCAGTGAGTAGTGAGAGCCCACAGGCACTGTAGTAAGCAGGCAGGAGAGTCCCACACGAGCCAGGGCAGAAAGCCTGCACCACACAGCATTCTTACTCTGGGCTGGAGGAGGCAGGCCTGGCCTCTCTTCAACACTACTAACAGGACTAGGCTTGGTGGTTCAGGCCATCAGACCCAACACTTGGAGGGAGTTAAAGGTCAGCCTGGGCTACTTAACTTAGGCCAGCCAAGATCACAGATGTAGTGAAATCTTCTCTTATAAAAAAAAAAAAAAAAAAAGACTACTAACAGAATCACCCATAACCCAGGCCTGCTCAATAACCTCAGTGCTTCCAGCCCCAGCCCTGCCTCAGTCTTCCTTCCACCCTCTGCCCAGCACCAGCCTTGGCTTCTCTGCCCTTACCCACCCCGAGTGTCACTTCCCTGCCTCAGAGCACCACCCAAATCCAGTGCTGTCTCTCTGGTTCCAGGAGGCTGAAGATGAGAAGTCCGTCCTGATGGCGGCTGTGCAGAATGGGGGTGAGGAGGCCAGTCTCCTGCTGCCCGAACTCAGCAGTGCCTTCTGCGACATGGCCAGGTGAGGGAAGGAGGTCAGGTGCGAGCACACCAGGCTCTGGCCCCAGCCAAGAAGAGACGGTACCGTTGTGGTTGACAGAAATGTCAGCACCGCCACCAGTCCTGGGTGTTCCACGTTCTTTCTCCCTGCCTCCCTCCTGCTCCTACCCCTCCCCAACCACCAGGTAGGTACCTAGGTCTTCAGGAAGAAAGAGCGTGACCAAAGCTGGAGACCGTGAAGACCACCATCCAGCATCTGTCTGACAGTGCCTGAGATGTTCCTCATCTCTGACTTCCTGGGAGACTGGGAGGGGATCTGGGGTGGGGGTGTCCTCAGGTATCAGGTCCTAGTGAGGCAGGCAGAGCCTTAGGGAAAAGAGCATTATCACCTGCTTGGGGCAGAAAGGACCTGTGCCGTCATCTCTCTCTGTTGAGCAGGAAGATGAAGAACAGTGTCAGACTCATTTTCAGCCTCATTAGGCAGCAGACGGAGATGGAGGGAGGAGAGCAGGAGGGTGGGGGATGGGTTCTGTACTGCAGACACCGGCAGGGGCTCATGGAGAGAGGACATGGCCATCTAAAGAACTAAGGCGTCCAGTATCATGGGCAGAAAAATGCCGTAGGAGAGGCTTGAGCAGACAGTGATCAGGATGGCACATTGGGAACAAGAAACACATGGGTTTTGTTCCCTGAGGTCTCCAGGTCAAGAAGGCAACAGAAGTTGGACATGGTGGTGCCTGCCTGGAGTCTCAGCCCTTGGGAGGAAAGGGAGGGGAATGAGGAGCTCAGGGGTCACCCTCTGCTTCATGGCAAGCTTGAGCCCAATATTAAAGATAACAGTGAAGGCACTGGAAAACCCTGACCCTCTCAATTTTCCTCATCTCTCTCCAGTGGCTTTGCAGTGGGTTCCCTGTCGGAGGTCGGCACTGGGGTGTCAGCCACCCCTCCATGGAAGGAATGTCCTGTCTGTAAGGAGCGCTTTCCTCCTGAGAGTGGCAAGGACACCCTGGAGGACCACATGGACGGACATTTCTTTCTCAGCACCCAGGACCCCTTCACCTTTGAGTGATTTCACCCCTCTCTAGTATGTAGACACAAACTCACACACACACACACAAATCTGAACTCGTGCCCATTTTCCATCACTCTGGGCTCTGTAATATTCTGTTCCTATAAACCATGCCTGCGCCCTGCTTCTGACCCAGGCTTTATAACTCCATCTTCTATCCTGACTCCTCTGTCCCAGGCAGGGATCTGTCTTGGGAGCAGTGGTTGAGTTTACTCTCTGAAAACAGTTTAGAGGAACCAAGATGAAGGGGTTTCCCCTGTGGGAACAGAATTATTCATTGCTAGCTCAAGTACACAGCTACACACACACACACACACACACACACACACACACACACCCTTCTGATACCCGAAAGCCAGCTCCTGGGCACCCCACCCTCTCTAATTCAGAGTTTGTTTGTTTACTCGAGTTTTTTCTGGGGCCTGCATGGAAGCAGCAGCATGAGCTCATGGGGTCTTTTCAGTTCTTGGCTTCACTGGTTCTCTCTGTTCCCCACCGCTTTATGCACCTGTCCAGCCTCTCCCATAGCTATAGGTCATAAGTTTGGAAGTTTCTTTTGTATTTTTAAGGATTCCTATACCTTCTCATACCACCCCATATCCAAGTCCTCAGATGGAAATGTATTTGTGCCTTTTGTGAGGGATGGGGTGGGGACAAAGGATCCCAGGTGCCCCCAATTCCCAGCCCTCTCCAGGCCCCCCACAGCAATAAGAACCCCTCTCCCCTAAACTGCCCTCCTTATCTGTAACTTGGACAAATATATTTATATGATACATGTTACTGCTGTCATACAGTGTGTTCTTGTCAAGAGGCATCACTACGAAAAAGTGGGCCTCAAGCTCCTAGACACTGGTGGGAGGAAGGGAAATGATAGACAGGTACATTCTTACTGAGCCCTCAGGGATGCCAGCCACCTGAGGCCACAGTGGGTCTGGCCTGCAGCATATTTTTAACGTTGGTAATGGGATTGGAAGGGACATGCGGGAGAAGGCCAGGTTTCTGCTGCTCATGCGTGTACCCTCTGTGGTCACCTTTGTTACACCCTGGGCCGATAGGTGCACACCTTCGAGTTCTGTCTAGTGAGATCCGCCCTAAGCTGAAAAGTGTCAAGATTTTAGCATCCCTACCCACCTGGGATGCATTTTCACATACCCCCATGCACTCCTCATCTACCCCAACAAACATCCACAGCACCATAAAACATATATCAAGGACCTGTGTGCTCACCGAAGGCTCTGTGTGCCCTGCCAGACACTCCTACAGCTCCCTTGCTCTGTCCCCAAAGCACCCTTCTCAGCACCTTCCATTCCCTTCAGGTTCACTCATTGGCCACCCCCACAATCCCTGCCCTCACCCACCCTCTTCCTGCAGCACCTGGATGACATCTTACATCCTTCCTTCTTCCCTCACGTCTCTGTCTCCTAGCAACCCCATCTCATTCCCTGAATCCTTTCCAAGGAAATTGGAGATAATGGATCTCTCTCTTCTCTCCATCTCAACCTCTCTTTATTGATCCTCCTTTAATGAAAGTTAATTATAACAATGATTTAATTAATAGAACCCCTCTCTTCCTTTATTGCTTCCCGTATTAAGACTATTAATAAATACGAGCTGGGCTGACAGAAGCATCCATCACCCGCCTGGGATTCCCCATCCCTCCTTTTCCCCTCCCCTCCTCCCCTCCCTCCCTTGGCCTATAAACTTGCCGGGGTAGTGGGGGTTAATCAGAGAGGAATTATGAGCCAACATCCCCAGCAGGAGGTGCATTTAATGAAATCACTTGTGATTTATGTCTGGGGGAGGTTGGGAGGGAAGAATCTGGGACTTACACATGCTGGCTTCCAAGAGGTTGGTCCCCTAGAGCAGGGGAGACAGAAATCAGATCTAGACCCAGGCTGCCTGCTCCCTGCTAACCCTCCACCGTACACAAAAGCCACATGGCTAACCAAACCAAGCCACTGACACATAACTGTCTTGCTAGAAGCAGTTGTGAGGGTCACACTGTGGGCTTTGTTCCTCCTCTCCCTTGCATGGGCCCTCCTCATCCACTTCCTGCCCCTTCAGCTCTGTCCTGCCTCACCCACAGCTGCTCCACACTTCCTCCTCTATGAAGTAGCCCCCTCCAATGTGGACACCAAGCACTTGCAGCCACTCCTTCCTTTGGACCCCATGTGTCTCTTCCTGTGCGGTGTGTGTGTGTTTGCACTGGGACTTCCGCAGGTTCCTCTTCCTTACACTTACCCTCCCTGTGCACGCATCCCTTTGGAGTCCTGCTCCTATACATTGTGGTGATTGGCAACTCACCCTCTCAACACCTCCATTCTGAAATGGAGGGATGAGTCCTTATCTTCCTGCTTCCCAGCTTCTGTGCAGATGCTGAGAGCTGAAGGCCCTGGAGTGAGGAGAAGCCAGGTAAAGGGGCAGCAGAGAGGGGACTTCTGTCAGTATCTGTCATCAGGGAATGAATCCAAATGGCAGGATTTGCCTAGCTTTCGGATTTCCCGGGAACCAACCGTGGTGGCTGCCCTGTCTACAGGAACTTGGAGTGTGAGTGGTTTAGTGTGCCAGTGCAGGGTCTTCATTAGCTCGTCCTGCTGTGCTCTTCCGCCTCATCCCGCCTAAGGAGAACAGACCATTGCACAGGAATATGCACTGTTTTTAAATGACTGAGCAGCTGCATTTCTGTCCACCGAAAGGATGCTTCAAAGCCTGCTTGACTTCTCAGTATTGTCTCTGAAAAAAGCATAGAACACATATGGCATGCTCGCAAGCCGCACTGTGTCAGCTGGGCATGCCTGAAATCTCAGGAACTGAGAATTGGATAATTTCAGATTTTCATGAAATCTTGTTTCAAAGCACCACAGGCTGGGTAGGTGTGATGTCTCAGACTTGTAATCCTCAGTCAGAAGGATCTTTGCGAGGTCCAAGCCAGAATAACTGCAGAATGAGACCTGTCCCCCCCCCCAAAAAAAAAAAAAAAGTCAGGCAATAGTGGTGCATGTCTTTAATCCAAGGAATCTGGAGGCAGAGACCAAGCAGATTTCTGAGTTTGAGGCCAGCCAAGTCTATAGAGTGAGTTCCAGGACAACCAGGACTACACAGAGAAACCCTGTCTTGAAAATAACAACAACAATAATAATAATAATTAGAAGGAGGAGGAGGAGAAGCAGTGCAGGCCTTACCTAGGATGTACACACCCTAGTCATATCCCCAGCACTGCAAACAAAC